GGGTTTATATACCTATAATTTGAAGTTGAAAATCATGCGAACACATCTTTTTGATTATATTTTCAGGTATAACTCTTACTGAGAAGTGGACCACAGATAATGTTCTCAGCTCTGATATCACTGTTGAAGACCAGGTTAGATGGAGACCTACATGTGTACTGCCATGCTGTGTCTTCTTTGTTGCCTCCTTATGACATACCAAAATGATATATTTTTCTCTTATAGATTGCCAAAGGATTAAAGATGGAATTTGATACTTCATTTGCCCCCAACACTGGGTATGTTCCATTATACATAATTATTGTATTCTCTCAAAAGACAATAATAAATCATCTCTCTTTTGCAATAAGGTTTATATATTTATTTAAATTATTTCCCTGTTTATTATGTAGCAAGAAGTCAGCCAAGATCAAGAGTGCTTATAAGAGAGATCATTTCCATGGTACTGCTGATGTGGACTTTGATTTTGCTGGACCAACTGTCCAGGCATCTGGGGTAGTAAGGTAATGATACCACTTCACAATTTYTGAGGAAATCTTGTTTTCYTTTCACTTGAAATGTTCRAAAGAAAATTAAGCCTAATTGAATTTTACTTTTCAACTTTGTTTGTAGTTATGAAGGATGGGTAGCTGGCTATCAGGCAGCTTATGACACTTCCAAGTCTAAATTGATAGCAAACAACTTCTCTTTGGGTTATCGATCAGATGATTTCCAGGTTCATTCAGCTGTGTAAGTGATTATTCAAGTTATTTATTGTTGCAAATTTAATATAGCTAATATGAAATGATTATTTCATTAGAAATGATGCATCAAGATTTTCAGGATCAATCTATCACCAGGTAACTATTGGAAATGAYCACAATATAGTGATTGCAGAATACAGTTGAACCTTGAGAATTCTCTTGTGAACAGACAGYTCTGATATTATTATTTTGGACAGATATAACAACTGACAATTATTTTGGTGTGTCCAATAATGAGAGACTCGGCTATAGTTTGTTCTTGCTGTTTTTATGTGATAATAAAATATGATATGATATGTAGCACACATCCCTACCATTCTTGGAGAGCAAACTGAAGAAGATACATTGCTTTAAGTTGCTTAATKCCTCTGATTGCAGTCAATGTTTGACACTCATGATAACAATGATGTATTAATCATGTAGATGGGGTATTTAATTGTGATTTATTACTCTGCTACTTCAGATCAGTAAAAATCTTGAGGCTGCAGCACAGYTGAACTGGACAACTGGTAACAGCAACACCACATTCCAGGTTGGTTGTAAATATGATCTGGACAAAGATACATGTGTTAGGGTAAGTACTTGTTATCTTGCTGTTTATTCATYGATTAACTATTTATAAACTGATCCATTTCATTCTTTGAACAGGCCAAGGTAAATAACAGCAGTCATTTAGGGTTAGCTTATACACAGAAGCTGCGTCCAGGCATCAARGCAACACTGTCAGCCCATGTTGACACCAAAAACCTCAACAGTGGAGGTCACAAGCTTGGTCTTGGAATTGACATGGAAGCTTAGGTTTTTACATTCAARCTAYAAGTGTTACCAGTAGTACACTTACCATTGAATCATTAAACCTTTTGAGCAAAATGCTTTTCAATTTTCCAATGTCAGTCCTGACCTGTTAATATAAATGTTAACAGTGCAGTGTAGTGGCATCTTGCTGTACTAGATTGAGGATAATGTGTGTAATATGGTGTTTATTATTATCTAAACAGTTTGTTCTTTATTTGGTCTACTCAATAAATGCTAAAAAAACTATAAACATTGTTTAGTGGTGTTGGTTCGAATCCAATTCTCTTCCTGAAAACATTTSTTTTCACTCTAAGTTTTTGGAAATTTTCTAAGTTCTTGTTCACATAATATGTACACAAGAGGMCTTCTGTACGACCATTATTGACCCAGGATATGTACATCTCTATATGAAAGTCGTACAACAGATCCTTCTCTGAAGTTGAGAACTGCTGATAATTATTCATCAGTATCAACTATACTTGCAAAAGSTTTTTAAACTGAAGGATTACTGGATAATTATCCATGAGTCTAATAATTGCTGAAGTTTTTTTTAACTTAAGAAGCTGATGATTATTCATCAGCATCAACGATATCAGCAGAAGTTTCTTTTATTCTATTTCTATTATTTTATTTTATTCATCAGTACCMACAGGTTTCTCCATACTTTGTCACTCTATTACGTTGTGTCACGGTCGAATTGTAACCTTTTATTTCTGTGCATCAGTGAACTTCACATGCAAATTTTTATAGACGTTCTATTTTTATAGAATTTCGCTTGATTGTTCACTAGTTCATGTGCCATTGTTCACTGGATTGGACGAGAATTGGTCAATATGRTATTTATCGCATGACACGTCTTTATCGGCTCATGTTGACTTGCTTGTTCTWAAGCATTTTCATGAACTGGCAGTACCATATCTATACATAGTCTCAGCAATATTTTCTCAGCATCAGCTCAGCTGTACATCAGTGTTTTCGCCAGAGGGAGTGATGAGCATAGAGCAAGATTACAGAGCTTTATTGCTCGATATATCGCGTGAAATAACGCTAAGAGAACTTGAGGAAATGAAGTTCTTRTGTGTTGATAGGATACCTGAAAGTCGTCAAGAAGGTGCGAAAACTTTGGATTTCTTTCGCGAGCTTGAGAAACAAACTGTGCTGAGGAGTGATAATCTTGGTTTTCTGGTTTACATGCTTGAGATAGTAAAGAGACCGGATCTTGTTTTTCGGTTGAGAAGYTTTCAACTTTTTCAACGGGCATACTTTGAACAGCTTGACGGAAGAAATGCTGGTGKGACTGCACATTATCAAGAAACTGTCCAGCAAAACAACAACAATTCCAAAATAAACAACAGTGGTGAGTTTATGCTTACAAGTCGTACTTGCTCTTWCTTTAGTTGTCAGGATTGAATCGATATTGATTGCTCTTGAAAAAAGCGCATAATTCGTTGTAATCGATGGGCTTAGATCGTCACTCTAATGGTAACGCGTTCTTGAATCAAACTCTAAAGAAAAGGGGTTACACTTTCTTTTCGGCTTCTTTCATTTTTATTTATATGGTATGAAGTCCCTTAACCCGTGAAACCTGCTTCCTTTCACCTCTTGTTGTTACAATATGTTTCAAAAATTTATCTTTCTTTCATTCCACGATTATAGATTTTGTTTAAATTTTCTTCAGCAAACAGCATTGTGACTGATTTATTGATGTAGAATATATAACATCGAAAAAATGATTTTGAGGAACAACATTTTTCATCGATGAGATAAGAATTTATAATTGATTATTGAATTTTATTTATAGAATTYCCATCGTCAAATGATTGTCGTTCACCATCGAGTGAAGATCAGTCATCATGCAAAGCAGAGCAAACTGCAGGTACCTTCTAACTTCACCAATCGGCATTCCATGCGATCGCGTTAGATTTTTCATATACGGAAGAGGTAACTTCAAAATATCCATTCSCGCAATTCATTTCCATCGTCGGTTTTAAGTTCAAATTTTATTGACCATAAATGGGCAATAAAATAAGTTTTTGTTTATATTACGATGTATATTTAATTTTAAAACATTCCCAAAGCTCGTAAGGGATGCCGGTTTAGGATGTCCCTTTTGTAAAAATATAACAAATTGCTTGCATTACTTAAAACCCATGTTTCGTTCCACTCAGAAGTTGCTGTAAGATGCGTCGTGAAATTGGCGTCCGTGGGAGCCTGGTTAGCAGGATCTGCGTACATCTTAAACAAGTACCGAGAGGATCCTGATGCCTTGGTGAATCTGATAACCAAAGCTGTACTGCCATCAGGGATCGCTATTCGATACATAGTCGGTGGGTCTGTAAAGTTGGTTTTATGGGCAACAGATCTGTGCGCACTCAAAGAATTATGGAATAGGTGAATATGGGCTGAATAAATAATGAATGGGTGGGAAAGTGGATGAATGAACGAATGGATGAATATAAATGAATAGATCAATTGAATAAATCAACTTTGATGATGGAAAAATGAAATGGTCGAATCGAGACCAATGGAGYTGTAAGCGCGCAGTTTCCTCATTTGCAAACACAAATACATTTTTAACATTTCAGGTACAACTCCAATCAACTGCGTAAAGATTTGGAAAAAGTACTCGTTACAGAGGACTTGGYGAAATTAGCTGAAGGTGAAACAATCGAGTTCAGTGTTGAAATGGATGARAATGAATACAGGCATGSCTGTCTCGAYCTGGTAGTTGCCTACAATAAAGGTACATTCACCAATCATTGGCTAACGTTTATCATTGGAAGAGCGCAAYTGCTTCGAGATACGAACGTTAGAATTGTTATAGGAGAGTGATTAATTTGTGTTCTTCAAAACACGTTAGAATGATTATTCTTGTGATAACAACTGCGCAAGCTCTATAAAAATTATATTAAGTAATTTATCATCTCCAAAGCACAGTGGCATCAACTATTAGACATTTGATGCTACATTCCTTTGCTATGCTGACGATCATAAAAATCGCGCCAATACATACACACCTGTCTTCTGACAGGTTCATACTCTTAGTTAGGTGGCGTTTTATTTACTTGATACGCGAGAATGAATTATGCATGTTTTACTAAACCGATTGATGAATGTGATCCACTTCCGCAGAAGGATATACAGGTACTCCTCACCCAATAAAATTCAGTTTTTAACAAKAAATTTCTCAGGAGTATAAAATGATGGAATCTAAACCGGAAGAAAATTCAAACAATTCTGATTGTATTCTTACAGCCCAAAGGAAAGTGGCTGCCAGATTCTCGGCAAAGCCTCGGAGATCCTCCTCGTTACCGGATATGACGTCAGTATGCATTCAATCATCCTCAGTACAATCGCAAGCCCAAAAGTGCGCAAGCCCAAAAGTGTCGTTGGTCGCACRTCCTTGGAAACCTACGCATCTGGGCGAATGGAGGAGCAGTTCTTCGGCTTCCTCGGGGCAGTTTAGTAGTAGTAGTGTATGCAGTGAATCTGGTGAGTATTAAGGGAATAATGACCACACTTACGGTGCGGTAATTTGGGCGTTGTTCCAGCGTCCTCGCATGTCATATAGTGTTACTGTTGTTATAAATGAAACTATGATCAAGTAAATTTAAAGATTGTACTTTGTTTTTTTTTTCTTTTTAACACTAGGTGACGACCGCCATGTTTATCTAAATGATTTCCTTCAAAATATCGAAAAAGTACAAGACATTTGTGCGATTTTAGACCGCGAAATGATTCTCTGTCACGACTGGAGGAGTCTTGCCTCGGAATTTGGTTACAAGATGAAAGATATTTGYCTCTTGGAAATAAAAAAATCGCCTTCAATGGCTCTGTTACAAGATATTACCCACAAATCACCAGATGCGAGATTATCAGAGCTAATCGATAAATTGTCGTATTTAGAACGGGATGATGTCGTCGATCAAATACTGGGTCAGTATCAATATCGAAAGAGTTTAATT